AGGTGGCAGCACAATGCTGTGGGACTGTTTGGCTGCAGGAGGGACTGGGTCACATCACAGAAATACAGCAGATGGTCTGACGATGAGAGAGGACTCAGCCTGGTGGAACCAGCATCAGGGCAGATGAGTTTAGAACAAAAACGGCGATCCAGAAACTTCTGAACTCAAAGAGTTCTGCTCTGCTCCTGATGGGAGAAACGGGTTCCAATTCTGCTTTATAGAGAAGAGAGAAGCTCCTGTTGATCCTAACTGACCGGAAACAGAAAAATAGTGATTTGCAGTGTTTACAGCATGAATAATGTAAACGTGGATTTCTTATTTTCAAGCTTTTTAAATTCAGACAGAACTAAATATCAGAGGTGAAGAACCACAATTTAAAACTAGATTTATATAAAGATGGTTTCTAAAAGGTCTGAGGCTTCCCTGAACCCCCCCCAACCTGATTCTCCAGCTCTCTCAGATGTCTGATGGGCTCTGCAGCCTTTTCAGGTGTTTTGTGCCAATCATACGTCCTGCTGTTCCATCTCCACCCTTCAGAGATGAGTCTGTCACCTTCAAAGAGCGAGAAAGAGACGGAGTGGCGTGCACAAAAAGCATCCATGGGGAGGGAGAGAAAAACATCTGAAGGGAAGTTGAAGACACACAAGAAGTCTAATCAGGCCCTGCAGGAGCTTCCATCGCACCAACGGGACGACAGAGAGGCTTCTGCTCAAAGAAGGTGATAATCAAGCATGGCGAGAACAGCCTTTTTTCTTCTCTTTTTGTGTCTGGAAAGTGATAATCAAGCTCCTCATCTCTGGTGATGAAGGCCTTACCTTAGATGGAGGAAGCAGGCAGCTCTCCTCCAAAGCAAACAGCCGACTGTGAAGGCCGTCCCACTTCTTCTGAGCTCTGTCCTCCTCCTCCTTGGAGACAGCAGGAGACAATAGAACAACCCCTCCTCAGATGACTTATTTTATCTTCCTTTCTTCTTTCTTGCATAAAACATTTTCAAGCTTTCTTTTAGGAAAAACTATTTCACATACAATGAACAAAATTGATTAAACACAAAACAATAAAATTAAACAATATCTTGGTAAAATAACAACAGGTGACTTTGCAGCTGGGATGTAACGAGAGAAAAATCCAGACATTCTGGTGTCAGGAGGAGACGTCCAGAGGCCAGGAGCAGATGGACTGGATCCACAGTGGTTGGAGGAGGCTCCAAGAGGCCCCATGAAGCACCAAGAGGCCCCAGGAGGCACCAAGAGGCCCCAGGAGGCACCAGGAGGCCCCCTGAGTCATAAAATAGGACAGATGGGCCCAGTATTCAAGGTGAGACATTCAATAGGAAAGTTCAAAACGTTTATTAAAATAAAAACATTAACAGAACTGAAGCGCAGCGCTGCTGAGGATCTGCGGACCTGCAGCGACTGCAGGAGGGGGGCGGGGTACCGCCCCATCACTGACACTCTGGTTTAGGGAGAAACACAGGTAAGTGATCACAATCAGGCAGGAGATGATTATCAGACCGAGTCACTGACCTGGTTTAACAGTTCAGTCCATCCTCTCAATCATAGGCAGGATCAGCCGATGCACTGCCAACGACAGACGGCCCTGAGCCATCCAGAGCGTCCCCAATGCAGCAGCCCCAGTGAGCAGGCTGGACTACGGTCTAGGATAGGGATTAAGGCCCCGTCCACACGAAGACGAACCCTGGCCTAAACGCACAAATTTTTCACCAAACCAGCCTCTCATCCACACGAAGCCGGAATTTCGGGGGTCTGTAAACGATCTTTTTTTTATTCAGCCTTCAGAGTGGGAAGATTT